AAGCTTCCCATTACATAACCTCAGTCCTAGCATGAAATCTAATAGCTTTGGCCTGTCTAAAGAATTTCGGAACTCTAGCAGCTTACATCACCCAAGTGATAGGTGTAAAAGGGTGAATGACTTATTTTTGTATGGTGTGGTAGATGCTTTAATTATTTACTTAATCTAAACTCGTGCAATCCCTGTTTAATACCATGTAATGTCTCAGTTAGCACTTTGCTGGCCAGTCCTAAATTCCCTTACTAGCCTATTAAGAATTCTAGCTAATGCGGAATGAGTGCCTGACCTTACATGAGATATATAAATATCCAATTCCCAGGCTTCTCTAATAATAAAAGAATCTTGGATGGCAAATGGACCAAATTGTAGCTGTGGACATGGCTTTCCAGTAACATCACTGTAATCAACCAATTTAGGACGCAATCCTATACATTGGGTTGGGCAGAGAGAACATCTCCAGATGTTTGGGACTTCAACTCTCATAAAACTTTCCAGCATGACCAATGGTTAGAAATGCTGGGAGATGAAGTCCAAACCATCTGAAGGTCTAAAAATGACCTTGGGGCAAGTTCTGTTGAAATCAGTGAAGCTTACTTCTGAGTAGAGATTCATAGAATTGTGCTGAAAGTTTGCGCAATCTCTCTCTCTCTCCAGTAGCAGCCAGAATATCTATGGCCTGCATCCCAGAGTTAAGTGTGGAATAGAAGGACAGAACTCTAGTTGTGCTGTTTTACAAGATACATGACTCAATAACAGTGTGGATCATGTTTTGATTGTCTGATGGAAACATTTTCCCCGTGATAAACAAAATAGGATGTTTGGATCACGCTACTCCTCCCCCTCGGGGTGTCAACACATTTGGTGGCCATTAAGAACGTCCCAGGAGTCTACTTTCAACCCGCATCAGTTCCACGTGTGTTCGCTCATGAGTCCAGTCTCCCTGGTCCTCCATTAATTTTGTTTACTTGACACTGTAGGACGGGGCAGGAGCCACACAAAAATGTCCTTTTCTTTCACTTCCATCTGATTATGAAATATGCATTTCTTTGGTATTTTACCACAACATTTACACATTCTGTGCATGTTAGTATAAAATGAACATTGAGCTATGCAGTTTGGAACCTTTCAAAGGCCAAAAACAGTGCAAAGATTGGAAACGTGTGACGTTGGAAGGAAGATGCACAGTAGTTCAAGAAGTAAGGTTGGTTTGCTTCAACAGGTGAACTGAACAAAATTTTCAGATATCCCTAGGTCACAGCTCCTGGCATGTATGCAGTAGAAGGGGTTCTGCATGAGGCAGGAGAATCCTACATGAGTATGTTGGTATGAGCATAAAGCCCTTCTGACACACCTAGTGTGCAAGCAGTCGTGGTGTGCTTCCATTGGCCACAGAGCGGGGACTGTAACGCCATTCACACATTCTGAGTCATCTGAGCTTCCACCCATTTTATTGCTTTCAGTGGCTGGCTGCCATCTTGATGGCCTTTTGGCAAGCATGTAACAACAACCAACTTTCTGGGTGTTGTGGAATGCACTGAGCACGGTGGGCTATACTTACATCCCCCTTTCTGGGGTACCAGTATCACATTTCGGGATCTTTGCAGGACTTAATGGCAGAGCATCCACATTGCCTGCAGAAGGTGCCAGGTTCAGTCCTGGCACCTCCAGGTTGGACTAGGCCAGAATCCTGCCTGAGCCTCTGGAACAGGGCTGGGAGGAACTCACTGGAATCCATACTGCTAGCATTCATGGTCTCCCTCTAAGAAAGTGAGCCAAGCTGAGAGGATGTCCACAAAACCCACAGAACGAAGTCCGTGCAATCTGCAGCCTTCTGCGTCATGCAAATGCTGGGGATGCTTACCAGAGACTGGATTCCCACCCCCCAAACGGAGTCCTCACTCATCTTTCCTCTGGAAGACCATGTCCAGCCGGTATCTGTACCTTACTATGTCCACATATAGACCAAATACGAAAAGTGAGGAATGCATGGGATATGTTTGCTTCCCCTTTTCTGTTCCGGTGATCAGGGTGTCATGACCAAGTTTCAGCTTCCAGTTCAACTCGGAAGAACCTGAATGATTTTGACAGCCCACTGAGTCAGTCCAAACCACCCTGATGCATACAGCACCTAAAGGGATCTCTGTTTGTCCATGTGCTCTTTCCCCTTCACTACAAATATGTTCTTGTACAAAGCACTGGGTACCCAAGGGAATGCATAGGACTTGATCACTGGCTTGTTGTTTTGGCAATGCTCGAGCTCTTTTGTAGGAAGAAGCTGTGAATTTTATGGTGCCTTCCCGGTAGATGACCACATGGAAAAACAAGTTGTTCTTCAGCACAGGATATTTCCAGCATATTTCAAGTAGGGAGAGTTCTGCCTCACTGGGTGTTTGGAATTCCTTTAACAACGCTGCTGGCTTGGCAGACACAACCTGCCATCTGGCCTTGTAGGAGTTAAAAAACGTGGGATGAAATGTTGTGCTGCTGCTTTCTTTCATGGGGCCTCTGAGGCCTGAGGGATGTTGGGTTGGTGACTCTCTTGGAGGAAAGGAGAGGGCAGGAATGGACTGGGGTTATCCAGGTACCTCAGTTAATAAGATGATGGTGGGCTGACAGGGATAGAGGAGGCCTTTGTTTGAAGGCCTGTGTGTCAACTCAACAAGAAATGCTGCATGGTCCTGGAGAGTGAAGCCAGCGCAGACTTCAGAAGAGTTGCATGTTGTTCATCCAATGCTTGGTCCCAGCGGTCATCAGGGTTGTTTTGCTTGCAAGGGGACATGCTGAGGTACAGCTAAAGCTGGGGGCTGGCCAAGGCCTGTTCCGCATCAGGGGCCCAGTCCCAACCCATAGAGCATTCTTGTCCTCTTCTTCTGGATGGCCCTGTGGATTGGTCCAGGGGAAGAAGACAAGTCGAAGGTCATGTGTACCCCTTGGAACTTTGGAGGCCCCAGGAGACACCAAATGGGGCACAGAGTGTCTCCTGGGGTGTAAGTTATGGGCTTTCGTGGACCAGAATAGCTTGGTGGAAGTGCTCTGGGCACTGAAGTTTGATCAGTGCAATGCATCTTATGTGGAACTGCCTGTAAGGGTAACAAATGACCAGCATATTACACATCTGTGTGGAAGGAAGAACAGTGGCCAGGTTTAAGGTTTGGAATGCTACTTGGGAATGCTGCATTTGCAGAAAATGGGCCAAATACCTACACTTCAGGAGAAAATTAAATTTTATCAGTGGGTTTCATGGAATACGTTGGTTCTTTGGGAATTCTCCTGAACCTGACATGCAAGTATACAGCTTCAAAAAATAGAACAAAATCTGGATCCATGCTTGAAAGTCAAAAGCTCCGAAAATGATATACATCAATATTAAGCACATGGCTGTTTGGTGCATAAGTAATTTGGGAGTGTCTGATGTCAACTTGTTCCCGTAAATAAAATACTTGTGTGACATGTAACACCTGCTCTTCCGCCAACTGGCACCAGTGCACTTCCTCTGCTTCTCTGGTTTCATTCATTCACAAGTGAACAGAATGACCTCTTCATGTGGGGAAAAGAGAGGAAACTGAGAAGTGCAGTGTGGATGTGATGTTTTAAAGGAAACATTAATCTCTTTTCAAAGGAAATGCTTGGATCGAGCCTCTTCCACTCTGGTTTGGAACCTGTTGAGCAAAGGGTCCTCCTACAGGACTGACATTTCAGAAATGCTGCTGTGCTCAAGGGAATGCTTTGGAGCAGCAATAAATTAGGATGAAATTGAACATCCGGATTTTCTGTCTAAAAGTGCATAGGATTCTGCCCTAAATCAGCAAATAGGCAGTCTGTGTAAAAAGCACTCAGCAGATAAAACATGTAAAGACAGCTGTGAAGTTACATATTTAATGGACTGGATCCATTAAGCCGAACGGAACTGCCATGGTGTACCAAATTGTGATCAGCTTGTCCCATTGATTTCAATAGCAATTAAGTTCAATTAACTCAGAGTAGACTCAGCCCAACATCTTTAGAATACAGTGTCCAGACCTGTGTAACTGCTTACCTGGTACTTAGGTCCATTGAACAGGTTAGGACTTAAGCCTAGGTAGAAATGTATCAGATCATCATTGTTTCATTTCTATACCGTCCAATATCCAAAGCTCTCTAGGCAATTGTCAGAAAAATACGATAAAATGCCACAAATCTTAACCAAAGACACATCAAAAAATAAAAAGCTAAACACATACGGTGAAGAATGACCCCCATAAAGGTAAATTCCTGCAGTGGGTAATCCCCCCAAGCCTCCAGATAGCCAAATATATCATTACAAGGCTTAGCATAAAGCACCATCTTAAGCTGGTGCCAAAAAATGGCAAAGGTTGGTGCCAGGTGGATTACGGTGGTCATTTCCACAGAGAAAGCCCCCCCCCCCTCCCAAAAACAGCAATTTTGCTAACAAATAGACAAGGGTGGGATTGGATCCAAGCTGCTTTTCCTTTCAAAATAAAAACAGCAGCATGAAATGCCCTTCTTTGAAAAAGCCTGAATAACAGAACATGTTGCATGGTGCTCAGTAGAAAGGCCTGCCAGGAAAAGTCTCTTGCAATAATTTATCTTTAATCTGCCCCTTTTGATGTTAATGTTTTAGGCATGGTGCTCTGTTAACAGTTGACGCATTTGTGTCAGGAGTGTGTTTGTCCACTGAATCTAAAAAAGTTCTGTGGTTCAATTAGTGATGTCTGAATGGTGCTTGTACGTCATATAAAAACATTCCTGTCAGATTCAAGTCTGCAGCCCTGACTTTTATATAGTATTCTCAGAACACAGTCCAGACTTATTAAAAGGTATGAGCTGTGATTTTGCTGTCCAGTCGATTGCAAAGGAGGCCTTGGGACCTAATATGTTTTGCACAGCTGTCAAACGGCATCAAAATAAATGTTTTCTGAGCTGCTCCAGAAAGACGATCATGGAGGGCTGCATGTGTCTGACCGATCCATTCCTGACCTTTCCCCCTTTTTCCCTTACAGGGTGGGAAGAAATTCTATCACGGACCATGCGGGGGTCGTGACTGCAGCGAGAGCTGTCAATGCTTTCCAGAAAAGGGAGCAAGGGTAAGTTGGTCCATTTTGGTGAAGGGAAGCAGACTCCCAGGTTTCTTATCTCAACTCTGTTTCTTCCAAGGAAAGCAAAGCTGCTATGCTAAGGACTTGCTCTAGCAGAGGGAACCATTTCCCCTGAGCCCCAAACTCAGATTTGAGGTGTACATTTCCAAGCTCTGTGCAAATTCTTTACCAACCAGTTAACCAAAAAAACCAAGCTGGTGAAGATTGCCGTGTGCGCTAGAATAAATATATCAAGTTGTATTCAGGGTTAGTAGACCCATTGCAATGAATGGGACATCAGTTCCAGGGTCCCCAAACATTTTTAGATCCATGGACAAGAATTGGAGAGTGTCATAATTTTCCTCTGAAAATATCTGCCACAGGAGTGAAGGTTGCCCATTTATGAACTGGTGGGTATGGAATTGGTAACATGAAAAGGAAAGTAATTTATCCTAGAATCTAAGTTTGACTTTAGCTTTGGCTTTGCTACATGATTTTTTTATATTGCTCCATATTTCAGTGTAGAGATTAAATGCATTTAAAACAAGATCAAGAAAACTGTGGCAGTGTAAGTAGGTACAAGGCAAAGACAGATCTGAACTCTGAAGCCCAAAACCGTTCTTTTGAACCAGTGTCAGTGTAAGTAAAAATGGTGCTGGAGAACAGGATGGTTTGTAAACCACCCCAGCTACCCACCTGCACCAGGTTTGGATGTCCTGCCAACTTGCCCCGGAAGGGTAATTATGGCAATTAGGTGGCTCACAGCCAGCATGTCAGGGAGGGGGAAAAAGCCTCTGCAGCGCCTGTCAACCTGGTCACCGATCTTGGGCTGCCAGGCCCTTAAGCTCAGACCAGCAGGTGGTAATAGAAGCTTTCCACTTGGGCGAAAGCCACATCTGTTTCCTTCAGCTGAATGCCTCAGCACTGATGTCATCCGTGGGTGCTGCCCTGGGCATCTTCCTCGCGTCTGTCTCTTCGCATTCCTGGGGTTCATCTGGATTGTTTGGACTGGCCACAAGACTGTTGATGTTGCAGTTCAAACGCTGGGCATTCCCCTTTGTTCGAATGTCACAAAGCTTTTTGTTTGTTTTCCTTGCTGACCTGGGAACTTGGATGAACTTTAACTTTATTTCTTATTGGGTCTAAACTCTTAGGTCTTGATATTGCTTAGGCAACAACAACAAAGTCGGGGTCATCTCTGTGGAGAACTGTGCCATGGAGGGAAATCCCTACTTAGAAAGTCCAAATTCCTTAAACAGCAGCATGGGAGCACACAAGTGCTCTTGGATGCATGGTCCCACCATTCTCTAGGTTCATATCTAAAGCCATCCCCAAAACTTAGAATCTCAACCCATGAGGTTCCGTTACTTCTTTTTTCCATCTCTTACTCTGTGACTGAGTTCAATGTGAGGATAGCTTCTATATAGTCTGAAGTGCCTGATCCTGGCTGATCTTGCAAGCTAAGCAGGGTCAGCCCTGGTCTGAATCTGGATGGGAGACTTGAGTCCTTCATTGAGCAGGCAGTTGGACCTGATGCCTGCTAGGCCCCTTCCAACTGTATGATGCTATGATTCTGTTGCCCAACTCAAGACTCCAGCATGGGTTGGAGCGCATGGCCATTGATCTATAAGTTGCTACTGAAACAAGAGCTGCTGTGTTCTTTAACCATATAAGACCCATAATTCACAACCTAGTAACAGACAATGGTCTCTCTTCTTGGTTCAGAAACAAGCCACACTCGATTGAACCCTTGACTAAACTGACCAAACTGGAATTCCTGGTTGTGAATCAGGCACAATTGCATGATTTGTGAGCATAAACACAATTCTTGCATACTCCTAGAGGGAGGTGCCAAGCTCATAAAACCCCAAACTTAAATTCATGCTTGAAAAATGTGCATTTTCATGCTTTACTGAAAAGTGCACATTCTGTGTGTGTGTGTGTGTGTGTGTGTGTGTGTGTGTGTGTGTGTGTGAATGCACACTCTGGCACCAGAAAGAAAAGATCTTGGCCTTCCACTTTGTGACAGCCATTGAGGAACTTATGAAGGGATATCATGCCCCCCCCCCACCCAGACAGTGTCCCAAACTGAAGTCTCAAGACACTTTTAATTCCTGCCTGTTATGAAACATTGCAGCTGCTTTTCCTGGCCTGTTCTGTCCCTTCTTGAAACCCCTTTTCTTGAGGCCAGAATCCTTCCCACGTCTATTTCTTTGCCAGCTCCCAGCACCATTTTTTCTAACTTTGAACCAAAACTATTTTCCCATTAAATTATTGATCTTTCATCTATCTCCTTCCATTCTGTCGCCTTTCAAAAGTAGGCATGGTTGCTTCATTTTTTAAAAGTTCTTCAATCAACACTGCTGACCCAATGCGATAATATTTTCTGATACGATATGGCTCCTAATCTGTAACAAATGTCAGTCAGTTCACTGTTTGTCCAGGAGGCTCAACTCCAGCAGTAAAGGAATCATGATATCTTTTCTTCCTGATGAATAAACATACGGGCAGGGAGAACTAATGCTGGTGTTTTATTTGTGGATGGGATAGAATTATCTTCAAAGTTAAGAAATCTCAACCATCTGTTAGCTGTTACTCAACTTGTCTTTGGCAAGATTTCAGGTGAAAATGAGGTAATAGCAAGTCAAACAAACTCCTGTGCCAATATTGTTTTTATCCACCACCACTGAGCACTATTCCTTATAATTTTCAAGGATATGCCTTGCTGCCAAACTGGGCATTAATCAATTAGCCTCGATTTCCCTTTTCCCACTCAGTTCAGGGAGCCCTTGCTGTTGGTGTGTTGGAAGTCTGGAGTTGTGAAGGGAAGTTGTGTTGCTGCAGCTGCTTGCCCTCCACCGATACCATTATGTGATCAAGACACAACCTGCAGTCATGTCGTTGTGGCAAGACTCCTGTGATCCTTGAGCGTGTTTGCCGAGACGTCTCAAGGGGCAGGCGGCTGCTGGTCTTATCTTGCTCTCAAACATCTGGGTATTTCTTTGGTCACGATGACTCTGAAAGCAGGCCATCTGTGGGCCTTTCTGGCATCCAGAGCCAGAAAGGCCCTGAAATGAGCAGGGCTTGGACTCTTCTCCACAGGCAGCTGTTAATGTTCTCCCCCGCTGCTTACATCCCCTTCCGAGACACTCGGCGGGAGCCTGCTGTCCTTAGGAGCTCTGAGCCCAGTAAGCAACAAACTGGGAACAAGCGCTGCTGGCCAAGAACCTGGAACCCATCACTCAGGGGGCAGCCACAGGACCTCAGATCATTGTTGGCTGTGGGGAGAGGCATAATTCTCCCGGCCTGGACAGGTATTCTCCTCAGCAGGAAAGGCAGGCAAGTCTTCCTGTTCGGGGTGGGATGCAAAGGCAGAGGACATCAGGTCCTTGAGTCTCAACTTCACCCAGACCCCTTCCCCTGGTCGAACCCCTTTCCTGCAACTGCAGACTGCTTGGGGTTGATCCAGCATGCCCCCCCCCCCCATTCTAAAAAGGTGAAATGCCTCTTGTAGGGTTGAGTACCTGGCGGTAAGCTAAAATATGCTGGCTTTGGGGGGAATGTTGCCCTGTCCTCCTTGCCTTTTGGGCCACCCCTTTTGTCCGTTGCCTGTCCCACCACCCGAAGGGAGTCGCTGAGAGATTCCCTGAAGTCAGCCCTTAGGTCCCAATCCAGCATGCCTGCACGATGGTTCTGGCTCTTGGCAAGTGCTCTGTTTGTTTTTATGAGGCAGCCCCATGTCCTGTTTTGCTGCTTTGGCTCCCACACAACAGCTGCTTACCATTCTGAAACATTTAGGTGCCTCATAGCCCACATGGCAAGCTGTACGTTTCCTCCCTCCTGAAGGTAGCATGCATAAAATTGCAGAACATAAAGGCTCCAGAACATACTGCATTGGGGAAAATGAAGAAAATGCATGGCTTTGGCAAAAGGCGGTCAGCCTATCCATGCAGCTGCATACACATGGCTCAGCTGCACTGAAACCAATTTTAAAATCTTTCCCACATTAACCGAGGACATCTCTGAGTACTTGGACTTGGAATGGCCTCAAGGCCTGGTTTGCAAACTGTGATTTTTGGAGCCGCTCCAATTCCTTTTGCAAATCTGCTTCTGGAACATGGGCGAGCCATCTGTTGCTCTTCAAGTGTTGTTGCTCTTTGCGAGAAGTGGTCTTGTGAAGGAATCACAAATCACGCTGCTTTTTCCTTCTAATGAATTCAGTAGAAGGAAGGCCCTCAATACCTTTTCCTGCATTAGTTGTGATTTACATCATGCTGGTGGAGGAAAAGGATATGTGCTGCATTTTACACACCTACACACTTGACATGGTGTTGCCCTGAATCCCAAAAGTGCAGCCACCCTGTTCCCAAATAGGAGGCTAGCCCTAAAGGACCCTTTGCAGAGCATCAGTAAATGGCACCTCAGTGCCTTTCCTACAATGACATGAGGCCTTTGGCACAACAGTTGCACGTACACCAAATGGCGCGTGTGTGTGTGTGGAATGAACCTGCTGCCTTTACACACACATACACACATACCTTCAGTGGAACAGATGGTGAAGCTCTGGCTCCCTGCCCATTCAGGTGTCACACCAAAGGTGCCTCTTTTTCCCGTTGCCTTCAAGAAAGAGGCATGCCAGGTGGCACACCTGGGCACTGGTGCGCTCCAGGTGCCCATCAAGGTTCTTTACCCTCCTGCATGAACAACAAACGAGCAAAGAAATGCCCCCATATTGCCTGCAAGTTACTTCTGTTGGAGCTGAGAACTAGGTCTCTTCAGAAGAATTGCTTTAGGGCTTTAGCCCCTCTGACCACACCTCTGGTTTGTTCTTAGTGTCTGGGGAAGGCTGCTTATCATTTTGTGGCGATGCCCTGGACAGCTTCTCACATCGCCAAATGAGCTAAGGTCCAAAGAGGCCGCCTTCCTTTGCTTCTAGTGAATCCTCCTAAAAAGAACTCTGTGCATCTGTTCAGCCTTTCTCTCTGGTTTGTGTGTGAGAGCAACAGAAA